CATATACAAGTCGTAATAAATTTACTATAAAACTCGACCAATCCATATACAAGTCGTAATGACGATACTATAAAACTCGACCAATATATCCATATACAAGTCGTAATGACAATACTACAAAACTCGACCAATATATCCATATACTAAGGAGTCGGCGTACGAGAAACTCGGAGGATGGGACGATCGTGGTAAAGTAATGCGACTGGCGGCGAGCTTCCATGATGATCACTTCCATCACACTCTCAAGCGATACGAACAAGGCCGCGTCCATCGCGTCTGCCGCGTTCAAGTGGCGCACCACGTCCTTGAGCAGGATCACCACCTCCCGACTCTACTCCAGCTTTATCACTTTACCACTCGGAGGACCACAGTTTCAAACGTGGATTTATATATATATATATTGTACGGAATAGTGGGCGACCAGCAGCGCCACAAACGCCGCGGCGCAGCGCAAGTACGCGTGGACGTCGTCGAGGCGGGTGATGGTGCTCCACACTTCGTTCAGAAACACGAGCTTGTCGTGGGCAGGAGGCGGCGCTTCCACCAACTTGAGCGATAAACACCGAAATAGTTCTTCCTGCAAAAGAAATATTTATATTATAGACACGGAATAGTATAGACACACCAACGGTTCCAACTATTTGTTTTTAACGTTTGACATCATGGCGTATATATATATATATATATATATATTTATTATCCCTATATATATTTTCAGTTGTGGATGTCTATATATATAATATATACATCCACTGGAAAAATAAATAAGGATACGAATCTTCATTTTCTCCAACGCACAAATACCACACCAACTGTCCAACTACAAAACGATATATATATATATATATATATATATATATTCCCACAAAACATATAAATCCCTCCGTTCTATATTTATGAAACCAACTACCGTATTTATCGTGGCACCATGAAATATAAAACGTAAACATATCGATAGAATGCCATAGTATCTAAAGTAGGCATATGATGCAAGATATATACGATTGCAAATATAATTACATGTGGCAAAGGGACGACCAATACGGTTGCTTTGGTTCGTACCTTGTGGTTAGTTTGGCGAATGAGTTGCACCAACGCCATCGTGTGCTTGGCGAGTAACTTGCCCGGGAACGCCGTGACCATCTGCTCCAACACCATGCTATTCTCTGCGTATTGTTTATACTCGTGAAACAGTAAATCCACGTGTTGCTACATTATTATTATCAATATTATTAAAAACACTCAAATAAAAATAGTATATAAATATATATATACCTCGGTCGCAGCCAACGCGATGCTTTTCATGAGCCAGTGGACGCCCGGCGCGTGAATTGCTTGGAGATCCGACTCGGTCGACTCTGTCTGTGTATAATACTGCACTGCCTAGAAATATATATATATATACATAAAATATATATCCACGTTTAGCATTCATCCGTGACAGAATAGCGGAATCGTACATTTAAAATACCATGAACTCGAAAGGTACATACAAATGCTAAACTACCTTCCAAACTAGCCATGTATTTATTGCCATACAAATGATACTTTTTCAATGTCGTGTATTGTGCGTTTTAGTCAAATTTGCCTATATTTTGGGGAATTGAGATGAAATCGCCAACGAATCAAGCAAACGAGTATGATTGGCTACAAAGAATGAAGGGGTTGTTGCAATTTGATTGGCCAAAAACATTGATTATTGCAAAGATACCTCTTCAAATTTATATGAAATTTCAAAGGTCCGGCGGTTCATCCAACCAACCACCACTGGATGAATGATATATTTTGAGTACAACACGGTACAATACCTTGTCCAATCCAAAGCGATGCATGATGTACATGTAGTCTTGCATCGACTGCAGTAGCACGTTAGTCGAATTGGTGGCAGGCAACACACGACTGCTGGCCAATGCCAAGTACGTCCGCGCGTACAGTGCGACCGTCACGTCCCCCACGCCCCTATTCCATAAATCAGCAAGTACTTTAGCCTTAACCACAAGAGAATACTGGAAAAGCTATCGTTTAGCGTTTGTATAGTAGACCTTATTAAAGGGTGAATTAGACGAAAGCAATATTATATTTGATCCTAATAGATTAGAAACAATGCCCCATAGAAACAAACTACACCTCGTACAATGTACTTACTTGATCATGTTGGACAAACGTGCGACGATGTGCGGGTACTCGCCGTCGCAGAGAAAGCGATAGCACCGCAGAAGAGCGATTTCAGTATAACTACCACCATGAGAAATATACATATATATATAGAAACGACGTACATGCGCGGCAACAGTTCTCGAATGCACGCCGTCTTGTAAAACCAGTTTCGACACGTTTCCTTGGCCTCGATGTCCACGTCCACACATGTAAATCCATCTACTCACGATAATATATATATATATATATCAGTCCGATTATTCCTTTTTTCACCGGCAAAATATATAAATATATAGTATATATATATAAATATAAATATATAGTATATAAATATAAAAATATATAGTATATAAATATATTATAAATAAATAGTATATAAATATATTATAAATAAATTGTATATATCATAAATATATAGTATATAAATATATCATAAATATATAGTATATCAATATATTATAAATATATAGTATATAAATTTATTATAAATATATAGTATATATATATATATATATATATATAGTATATATATATATTCAATCGAGAAGCAATTAAAGTGACAAACTATCCACATGAAAACACACCACGGGATGGTACATTGTACGATTGTTGCCATAAACTAGGAATACTTTGTCCAAACAACACAAAGACAAAGAAAGCAGGGGTAGCTAATAAGAATAATATATATATTTACTTTATAAAACAATATATATATATTTATGTTTACGTATGTGGGATGACAAAGTAGTGGTAGCTTATCAAAACAATATATATATATAAATACTTGATAAAATTATATATTTACGTACGTGGAAGGACGTGATGGTCGTCGGCCTTGGCCTTGATCCGATTAAACACGTGCGCGCCAAAACAGTCGAGCACGTCGCTCACGAGCACAAACATGCACGGGTAAAACTTGGGGAACGACGTGTCTCCTAATAACTTGATGCACTACAAGACATCATATAATATATATATATATATATACATTACCTAAATATATATATTACCTTGATGGTGATGCGTAGCGCCAGCACCTTTTGATCGTCGTGCCACGCGTTGAGAAAATCCTGTTGGAGGGCTTTGATTCGGCTGATGTACTCGCTCTGGGAGACTTCGATAGTCGTGGGTTCGTCGAGCGCCGTGGGGTTCTCGAGCTGCTCCAGACGAGCCCGCGCCCGCTGCATCACTGGGTTGTTGCTCGTGGTAGAGTTCGAGTACACGACTTTCTTCTTGACGTCGCTGTCGGTGGCGTCGTCATTCGCGTGGAGAGTGATGTGGAAGCGCTCGGCGGAAAAAGTTTGGAAGACGACGTCTTTTAGGACGGTCCATTCGTCCAAGAGCTCGTTCTTGGGGTCAACATAGGACAACGCAATCACGGAGTCGCTTGTCGGAGGAGGAAGCGTCGCGTTTGCCGCGGTTCCATGGTTGTCCCGAACGTCAGACATGAACGCACTCAAGGGATCCAATTCGCCAGCTTCGAGCGCAACCACATCGTTGGAGGAAGTTCCCGGATGGGAAGAAGCTTGTACAAGTGTTTTGGATGGAACGGTGCTGGTTGAAGATACTAGCGGTGCCGTGCGAGTGAAAGCTTTGTCGGAAGGGACCACCAACGATAAAGGGTCATCTTGTTCCACCACCGCCGACAAGACGCATTCTCTGACCAACCTGGACTCCGACAGAGTCAACTTCTTCACACCAAGCTGCCATGTGCCGTCGGTGCCACCATCAGGGGAGGAACGGTCACTTGTGTACGCCATCGATGCTCGCCAACACCCGTTGCGTGTGTTGAAAGATATGCCTGCATCGTACTTTTTAGCCAATTGAAATGACTTTTTTAGTGGATGTTAAACAAAAGGCCAAACATTTCGATATTTTGGCAATTTCGGCAAAAAGTGCTAAATCCGCTGTCTGGGTCCATAATATTCATACCGTAGTTGCCTTACATCTGATTATTAACCAATCAGACTGCATCAAGATTTCTTTGCCATATAATTGGTCAAGACAATTAATAGTATCAGTTTTTATCGATTTCGAAAATACACAAGGCAAGGTTAGAGTGCGTTGCGGAGAAACTCGGTCAAGACAACTAAAACAATATAAATGTACATTGTGGCGAGGTAGAGTCTCCTTGCAGTACTATACTTAATTGTTATCTATATATAGCCAATAGAAACCATATTTGTCTCTGATTGGCCCATCGTATGTATCAAGCTCGTTATTGCAGCACTTTTCAATTTGCACTGCCAAGAGCAAGTCCCAAATACTTCGACCAATATGCATAAACTTCGGATGTGTTTGTTTTCTCGGCCCACAAGGCACTTCAGGCCCTTCTGATTTTATGTCAACCCAAACGAACAAATAAAGTAATCGTAGTCTATTAAAAATCCTCTACCGGTATATCCGGATACATTTGTATAGATTGTGAAGATGATTTTTTCTGTATCTTGTGATAAAGAACAAAATTTCTGTGGTGTCAAGAGGGACGATAAAGGGGATAGCACCTGGGAGGAACGACGACGAAGAACACTTGTGTGGTCGAGGGCAAAACCAAAGATGATTTTTAACGGACTGTTTAGCTGACCTATGATTGGGCATAAGCAGTCCGGTTTCTACAGAAAGAGAACACCGGATAATTCCGGATGACCGGATATTATCCGTAAGTGACCGAACCTCGGCGAAAAAGGCCAAAGCAAGAACGGCCAAAGTGCCCCTTCTTGACAGCCACCCCACTGGGCAACTGACTGCTGAAGGCCTTCGAGACGAAGTTCTCAAAGAGAGGCAATGCCAAAGGCAAAAAGGGCTTAGCGAAAAATTCGCGGAGGCCAAAAAGTGCCAAAGGCATGTCACTACAAAAGCCACCCTGAGAACAGAGGCGAAGGAGGTAGGACAGGAACACACAAAAGATAGTGTTGAGCACATAAGTGCATGGTTACTCATAGAGTAAGGCAAATGCCTTAGGTAATGCATAAATGCAAGGATGCTCAAAGAGCAAGGGTGCTCGAAGAGCATGGTAAATACCATAAAGTGCATATATGCAACGAAGAATAAGACAGTGTGGCTAAAAATAGCGGGTAAAGACCCAAGTAAAATTGCCAGAAGCAAAAGTACAAAGTAATACTCAGAGAGTAAGGGTACACCCAAGTAAATTTGCCAGTAAAATTGCCAGAAGCAAAAGTACAAAGTAATACTCAGAGAGTAAGGGTACACCCAAGTAAAATTGCCAGAAGCAAAAGTACAAGTAAGACTCAGAGAGTAGTGGTATAAACCCATGAAGTGCAAGTAGGATGGACGGGGGCGTGGG